ATAAAGTTATATTCTTTACTCCAAGAGATGTTTTTTTGACCTTTGGAAATTTAAGGGTGCATGGATTTCAACCCCAAAAATCCCCAGGGGGGATTTTGGGGTGTTGAAGTCCATGCATCTTAAAGTTGCCAAGGTCAAGAAACACTGCTCTAGAGCTACAGAATCTACTGTAATATGTAATACCTTACTTTCCAGTCCTGAGGTTAAACGACACTAGCCAATATGAGGCTCAGGCATGTGGCAAAATCTGCTTTTGTGCAGTAGATTCACTTGCGGAGAACCAAATTGGAAGGATTTATGCAGTCCGAAACAATTTATCCAATGACCCCACACCTTATAGCCAAAATAGGGCCATTCCTGTCTCCTTTTTCACATACATTTGGCAGATTCTTAGCACTGAATGTGAGAAACTGTTTTCCCAACTTAGTACATCTCAGAATTTAAGGAAGTTGAAACAGACCAAAGATGGAGAAGGACATGGTTATCTGCTATGGGCTTCCAATATTTCAGCAAAAACCAGTGTATTTATACAACTGTTTAAAAGATGTGACCTGTAAATTATAGCCTGCATAAAACAGTGGTTTTCAAATCTCAGTGTAACTTTGTCATACCAGTTTGTCTGCCATGGAAGTAGGCCATGTTCTATTGACATGTACCTATAAGGGTGCAGACTCAAATCATGCCCAGCAACAGCTGTTTCACTGATCTTTGCTGTTATGGGAGGAGAACCTTCTATGGTGGCAAAAAGCAGAAGGAGTTTAGTAGTACCCTTTTTGGACTAACAAATTTTATTAAAAGGCAGGAGATTTTATGAACTGCCAGAGCTCCCAATCTTTTGAGGGGCACCCACATTTTTTCTGCCAATGGACATATTCGAAATTTGAGAGCATATTATGAGAACCCTCCTGATTGCCATGCTGGTTTGGCCAATCACAAAACATCTGTTTATCAGCCAGCAAACCAAAATGGAGCACCCGCCATTTGATTTTCCAAGAAGGCACCAGAGACATTCAGGGCACACATTATAGGAATACGGGTGATGCTTGAGGTTGGTGCTTTGTTTTATTAGCTTCCTATTCATTTTCTTTACAAAATTAAATTAGGTGAACCTAGGAGGCTGGTGGATGTCAGGAATGGCTATTGGTCACATTGTTGTCTATCAGATCCGTGCTGGAGAACCAGGGTCTATGCACTGCTGTGCTAGAGGCATATCACATCATATCTGGGCTGGAGAAATCCAGTTGACCACTAGATGGGAGCAAAGAGATATATACAATGCACGTTTTTGTTCCATCTAGTGGTCATTGTCATTTTTTTGTTCCATCTAGTGGTCATTGTCATTTTTCCAGCACAAATATAGTATGCCTATTATACTATATTATCTGATCTGGGTTTTTTTTTCACCCCAGCAAGATTTTCCCCCCAAAGTTTGGGAAGGTCCCCTCTGTTTTCTGCATGCAGAGTTTGTATAATCTTTCCCTTCCCCCCCCCTTTTTTTAAATCAAATGTTTATATAAAAATGCAGAAATTGAGCAAGAGAGGAAATTTTGCCCCCTCTATTTTATTCTGAGAGTGGGTAAAAAAATAAAATATGGGATTTGAAATGAGGATGGGCATTGTCTATTTTTTGCCTAATGTTGGGATTTTCTTGCTTCTAGATCTAATAAAGCATTAGCAACCTTTCTATGGTTTAAAGTGGGAGAGCAACGATGCCAAGTTCTCCAAAGAGATCATCCAGTAATCTTTATGGTTCCCTAAGTAGCCAGGGGTGTTTGCAGAGTATAATCAAAAGAGTGAATATGGTGGCCAAGACAGTGTTGGTGAAACTTCACCTGTTTTTTGTGTGTGTGTGTGTGTGTGTGTGTGTGTGTCTAATGGAAGGAAGGAAGGAAGGGAGGGAGGAAGGGAGGGAGGAAGGGAGGAAGGGTGAACCTTTGTACAACGTCAGTGTAGTTGAGCAGGAATTATGGCCTTGATTCTCTTATAACAATCAAATAACCTTCCAAACTCTGCAAACAGCAACACCTGGGAAACCACCAGGGAATCCAATGTAGGCTGCAGTGGGTAGTCTAAAAATAAGTATCTTCCAACATTAAAAACAACAATCTGCTTGACCCCAACAAGATTTTACCTTTACAATATTCTAACCATTATAAATCAGTAATTCTACCCTTCAGCAGTGCCCAGTGGAGGAGGAGATTCAAATAAGGCAAGATGGTGGTTACAGGAACATAATCAAAGCATCACCCTTTTGCACGTGTGTTGACACAACAGGGATTTGATCACCCTCCCTTGACTACCATCTTGCCTTTTTTCACCCTGCCTGCCTATAGCTAGTGCCATTGCCTTCAGCTTCTACCAGCAGCACTGCATAGTTATTTGTTCTTTTACCAACCACCTGCACTAAAGGTTTATATTTATATCTATATCTATCTCCATCTGCCACTCTGAAGCCGCTTCAAACTGCCCCATACAGGAATTGTTATCATAGAGTAAATTATTTGCAGGAATTTTGTCAAAAACCTGCAAATCACCACAGAAGGATAATTTGCCATGGGTCTGATGAAGTTTGCACAATTCATTTAATCATGAGTTACTGCAATTTACTGCGGTTTGTTGCTGGCCTATGACTGTAATAAAGATTTGTGGTTGTTACTGTGGTTTGCATAAATAAATGACTCACCACAGACTAAGGATAAAAATTATAGCAGGCTCCAGTGATGGTCCTCTGTATTGAGCAGTCCTGTCAAAGTCTACATTGCTGGAAGGTACCGTGCTTCCATTTTGCCCGTCTCCTTCCTGTATCCTGGCTCAGACATGAAAGGAAGGCTTAGAATCAAAGCTACAGTTTGACCCACTGTAGATACAGCCAATATTCCCTTCTGAATCTTCCCACTGAACCCTCTGAATCTTGGCTTACAAACCCACAGCTCCTATTCTTCAGTCCTGAAGAAGGAAGAAAATACAGAATAAGGCACAAGCCCTTTAAAAGCCATAGGCAGCAGGAACAAGCTTCTTAAATTTCCTTTCCTGGGATAGCAGTCCTCCTCATAAGAGAATACTTCAGCCAGCATCTGACTGCTCCTCCTTTCATTGTGACCTGGAATATATGGGACATCATTCTGCTTTAGCTTTTTAATTTTAAATGCAACCCCCCCCAAACAATAAATAGTAATAAACTTAACGAAA